CGAAGGAAAATCGTCCTACCACGGAAATTTTCAAACACGTGGTGGAGCTGGTCACAGTCGCAGTGGCCGATTTCAGAATTTTAACTTCAATCCTCAAGCAAGCTATAATGATCGTGATAAACACATGTTAAGTGCTTCAAGTGCAACCAGAATGGACATATCGTAAAGAACTGTCCGTATAACAATAAACAGAACACTGGTAAAAGAGAAAGTTCCAATATGGAAGGAGTTGCACTAATCTCAAGCATGATGAATAAGTCAAATGAACGGTTCATTGACTCAGCAGCGACAAAGCACATGACAAGCAACAAAAGCATTTTAGAGAATCAGAAATTGACGATCCAGGCACGATTCATGAAGCATTTAATGGTAAACGTTCTGACCAGTGGAAAGAAGCCATGAAGTCTGAATACTCATGGAAACTAGTACCTCCATCTGAAGGAAAGAACATTGTTGGATCTCGCTAGGTCTTGAAAGTCAAGCGTAATGAAGATGGTTCCATAGATCGTTTCAAGGCCAGACTTGTAGCACAAGGTTATTCCCAAGTCAAAGGTGTAGATTATGAAAAAGTATTTTCACCAGTGGCTCGTTATACATCTGTGAGATCGTTACTTGCCCTAGCTAACGCACAAGATTTAGAGATACACCAAATGGATGTAAAGACTGCTTTTTTGAATGGTTCATTAGATTGTGAAATTTACATGTCACAACCCGAAGGATTTGTTGATCCTGACAGATCAAATCATGTTTGCAAACTGAAGAGGAGCATTTATGGACTTTAACAGTCAGCTCGTTGTTGGAATTCTACCTTGGATGAATATTTGAAATCAGTTGGCTACAGCAAAAGCAAGGCTGATGAATGTATTTATGTGAAGTCTGTGAAGGAAGCTAATGGCCACATCAGCTTCGTAATACTTGGTGTGTACGTTGATGACATAATTCCAGTCTCAAACGACCCTGCTATGCTGAAAGTAGAGAAAGCTGCATTATGTGAAAGATTTGAGATGATTGATCACGGAGAGATTTTTTATCTTCTTGGTTTGTCAATCGGGCGAGACAGAGAGTCGGGAACATTAACAATAAGTCAACCCAACTACACAAAGAAAGTGCTCAGAAAGTTTGGAATGGAGAACTTCAAACCTGTCTCTACTCCTCTTGAGCCTGGAAGAAAGTTTATGCAGTTATCTTCACATGATGAGCCCTTTGATACTCAGACCTATCAACAGGCAATTGGATGTTTGACCTACATATCAACAGCAACCAGACCAGATATCACTGCAGCAGGTGGAGTCTTGTCCCAATATATGTCAAAGCCAAGCAAAGACCACTGGATGGGTGAGAAACGTGTTCTACGATACCTCAAAGGAACTTTGAATTATGTTCTGAAATTCTCTGTTCATGCTGAGCAAACCGAATTAAATGGCTACAGTGATGCAGATTGGGCAGGAGATGTTGACACTCGAAGATCAACATCAGGCTATGTATTTCAGTTTGGAAATGGTACCATCAGTTGGTCCAGCAGAAAACAACCCACAGTTGCTAAGTCTTCAACTGAAGCAGAGTACGTTGCTTTGAGTTCAAGAAGCTATATGGCTACGTCGTTTAATGAAGGACTTAGGAGAACAGACTGATGCCCTAACTACCATCTACGAAGACAATCAAGGAGCCACTGAGCTAGCAAAGAACGCTAAATACCATGACTGAACTAAGCATATTGAAATTTGTCATCATTTTGTTCGAGAGAAAGTTGTTTCTAATGAAACAAGAGTGATTTATTGTCGTACTCAGGACATGGTGGCGGATATTACGACAAAGGGACTGCCAAAACCTGCTTTTGAGAAATTGAGAGATTTATTAGGCGTATATGATGTTGTGTAATAATTGTTGTTTAGCTTTCTGGACGAAATGTTTCTTTTACTGAACAGCATAATCATCAAGTGGGAGTGTTAGGATTACATATGATAATTAATGCTGTTCATGAATTATCTATGACACGTGATCTACCGCATATATTAGTTCCGTTGTTGTTCTGGTTCATGTTCGTTATTTCCCTCGCTGTAACTTACTTCAGAATAAATCTAGCTTTTCTAACAAATGTTGCGGACATTACGTAAAGTCTGCAACACAAATTCAATGTGTATTTTCTAAGGAAAGTTCCAGTACCTAGATAATAATTATTGCCCATTGACAGTGTAAGGCAGAGGTTATAAACACATACTATTATATTAATTGTAATATTTTCTTACAAGTTAAAACTTTGTTTAAATTTCCTTCGAATTAAGCGCGTGGACAAGATACACAAGATCTCAGTAGTTTCAAACAGTTTATTGTCTCGGGTTTCTGTTGGTATAAGTTTCGTTCTGCAAAATTCTATTTCAAAAAATTAAAAATTTATTGTCTTGTGTGGAATTGCCCATTTGAACATCAAGATACTAGCACTATATAAAATCTTTCATCATTACAATTATTATTATTGCAGCAGAATAACCTGGATTATCTTAAATCGCCAGTCTTCCCTTTATTCATTACCAGTCCCCTATACTTAATTTTGCAAAAACATGCACAGAATTGCTATTTTAGCAGCGTTTGAGTTGTTTTCATAAAGTGCTATTGCAAATATTTGTTGACAAGACAAGATTTAAAGCCCACCTGCAAACATGAGCAGAAACCTTGAAGGGTACACAGGCTAACAAGCACCTAATTATTTTTCTGGAAACTCCTCTACTCTGGAAGGTGGTTTTGACTCTGACATGAAAAGATTTGAAGAATGAAAAGGAAAAGGCTACTTCAGGAGCCAGATAACAGCAATATGATTTGAGAAACATCATCCTTGAGGATAAAAAAAGGAGGCAGATATGTAAGAGCACCAGGGAAGCCAAATAACTGTTATTTAATGGTTTGTAGTAGAGCCGTGTAACCTCGCAACGCAAAACCAAGGGTGGTCTTTAGGATTGTGGTTTTGAAAAAAGATATAGGCTAAGATCGACGCGATACGAAGCGTGTGACGACTAGAATAAAGATAGGAAAAGAAAACTACGCGAGTGACTAGTGTTGCTATACTGGGATTTCCAACACTAACTGGCACCTCCGACGGGACTGAGATCGAGACATGAAACTGGAGGCACTTCAGAAGAATTTGGACGCAAAACTCAAGCTTTTGGCGTACAAGCAAGAAAAGGGAAAGGGCATTGTGGACAAGGCAAACGCGACAACTATTGGGAGACACCGTGACGGGTTGGTGTGTTTAGCAAAAGAAGCGGACGAGGTCAAATTAAAGATCGAAGAGAAGAAGATTGCAAAGGGTGAGCAAATGGACGAGGTATGTGCATGGAGCAATGAAATAGACAAAGTTATTGAGGGTGTAGACGCGGAGATCGAATACCTTGGGAAGTGTTTGGGGGAGGTGAAGAAAAAATCGCAAATGGCCGAAAAAGAAAGCGAGAAAGCGACAATCGCGAAGGAGAGAGAGGAGCAACTCGCGTTTGAAAAAGCACAATGGGAAATGAAGCTTGATTACGAAAAAAAATCAGAAGAATTAGGTAGCAAAAAAGGGAAAGGGTTATCAGGCGATACCGGAATGCACGCAAAGTTGCCAAAGCTATCAATAACGAAGTTTGATGGGTCCTTCGAACAATGGCTCTCTTTTTGGAATAAATTTTCCGCGGAAATAGATGCGACAGATCTGTCAGCAGTGACAAAGTTCGCTTATCTAAAGGAACTCCTTGTTACAAAGGTACGAGCGGACATAGATGGACTCCCGTTCAATCTTGAGGGGTACGAAAGGGCGAAGGCCATCCTAAAATCGGAGTACGGGAAAACGTCAGAAATTGTAAATGCATATGTAAACAACATCATGGGTTTGCCTACCATCACAAGCGCCAGTCCAAAAGAAATTAATGAGTTTTACAAAAGGCTTCTGTTCAATGTACAAAGCTTAGAGACGCTCGGGAAGTTACGTGAAGTCTCCGGAAATGTGAGGGTGGTGTTAGACAAACTGAAAGGAATAAAGGGAGACTTAGTCCGGGGACACGAAGATTGGCGAGACTGGGATTTCGCTAAACTGATTCAGGCAATTAAAGGTTGGAGAGACATAAATTCAGAAGGAGAAGAAAGCGATGGTGGGAGTGTGTCCAAGAGAAAGAATGATCGCAACGACTGGAATGCCCGCGTTCCGCCGCCACGCGGAAGGTCTTATCAGGTCCAACAACAAGCAAATGGAGGACAGATGCGCGGATGCGTCTATTGCGATGACACGAACCACACATCCGCTAATTGCACCAAAGTTGTCGCGGTCGGAGACCGCAAACGAATTCTGAGCCAAAAACAGTTGTGTTTTAATTGTACAAGTGACAAACACAGAGCAGACAGCTGTAGAAGCCGCGGGTGTCATAACTGTCAACGCCGACATCACACGTCAATATGTGATCGCCCACCAAGCGGTCACACAACGAGGGGAAGATTTATGACGGCACAAAACAAAGGAACAGAGAGAGTCGTGTATCCCGTTGTTGTCGTGGAAGTAAATGGAATCAAATGCTGCGCACTCCTAGACACTGGGGCAGGCAGCTCATACGCGTCGTCAGCTATCCTTGAACACCTGGGAAACAAACCGCTACGAGAAGAATTCAAGTGCATAGAGATGATGCTTGGGTCAACAAACAAGGTCATCGGAGTTCATAGCGTGACGATTGGCAGCCTTGATGGAAAATTTCGATTGGAAACGGAAGTCACCAGAGTGGACCGTAGTACATTGCTATCACTTGACAACCCAGGATATGCTGGGATACTGGAGAAATATCCCTACTTGGATGGGGTATACATGGACGACAGAGACGAGAAGCCTGAGCTACCAGTCCACATTATCCTGGGTGCGAGCGAGTACGCGAAAAATAAAGACAGAAACCATACCAAAGATCGGACGTCCCGGCGAACCTGTTGCAGAGCTAACAAAGTTCGGATGGACAATTATGTCACCAGGTAAAGAAGTTGACCTCTCTAATATGTTCTTGACCCAGACGACAGCGGCAGATTACGAACAACTATGCAAATTAGATGTTCTAGGATTGCGTGACACACCAGGCGGAGATCAAGCAGATGTTTATGAAGAATTCAAGGAACAATTAACACGAGGGCCAGAGGGATGGTACGAGACGGGGCTACCCTGGAGGGGAAACCACCCTCCACTGCCCAACCACAGAGCGGGAAGCTTGAAGCGATTGGAAAGTACCATTCGGAAACTGGAGAAGAACGGAATACTCCAGAAGTATGACGCCATAATTAAAGACCAGCTTAACGAAGGAATAGTGGAGCGAGTGTCAGGCCCACCAGTGGGAAAGGAGTTCTATATTCCACATAAAGCAGTGGTGAGAGAAGCTGCAGAGAGTACCAAACTTCGAATCGTGTACGACGCCTCTGCCCGAGCTTCAGAGAAGGCTCCTTCTCTCAACGAGTGCCTTCATGCGGGACCTCCGTTGCAGAACAAGCTTTGGGCTGTTCTTGTCCGTGCACGTTTCCACCCAGTCGCGTTAACAGGTGATATCAAGCAAGCGTTCTTACAAGTACGAATACGGGAAGAAGACAGGGATGCCATGAGATTCCACTGGATCACGGACTTGCAATCCAGGCGAGTGGAAATACTGAGATTCACGAGAGCTCTGTTTGGTTTGGCCCCATCGCCCTTTCTTCTTGGGGGAGTTATCAAACAACACCTGGAAGCCTGTCGTACCGAGAATCCGGACCTGGTGAGGGAAATAGAGAAGAGTCTATACGTCGCTGACCTTATCAGCGGGGGACCCACCGTAAAAGCTGCCCTTGAAGTCAAAGCAGGCGTTACCCATGTCTTTAACCAAGCCTCATTCAAGCTGCACAAGTGGCATTCAAATGTTCCGGCAGTGGAGTCCCCTGGTGATTCTCTTAGCGAAGATACTACATTCGCGAAAGAACAGTTGGGTGCACCTCAAGAAGGAGGGGGATCTATTCTCGGGCTTCCATGGAACAAGCGACAAGATACCATTGAAATAAATTTCCCAACTGACCGCACCCAAGTGACAAAGAGAGGGATACTAGCGAAGATAGCAAGAGTGTATGACCCGTTAGGGCTCGCAGCGCCTATGACATTGAGTGGAAAACTACTGTACCGAGACGCATGTGATTTGAAAGTCAGATGGGATGCTCAACTTCCTGGTCAACTGGGAACCAAGTGGTCAAGATGGGAAGCACAGCTACCAGTGAGCATTTCCGTACCCAGAGCCATACCTCAACACTTTGAAGAGATCAGCAACATTGAGCTACATTGTTTCGGCGACGCAAGCGGCCAAGGCGTTTCTGCGGCAGTGTACGGTGTCATATCTCAACCATCCGGTGATAGTGTTGGGCTGATAGCAGCCAAAGCTAGACTGGCGAAGCAAGGCCTCACCATCCCCCGCCTCGAGTTGGTCTCCGGTCACATGGCGACCAATCTCATTGTGAACGTTAAGGAAGCATTAGAGGGTTTCCCAGTTGGAAATATGGTTTGCTGGTTGGACAGCAGCGTTGCGTTACATTGGATCAAGGGAGCAGGGAGTTACAAGCAGTTCGTAAGCAATCGAGTGCAGAAAATCCAGCAACACCCAGAAGTAAACTGGCGTCATGTGGGTACAAAGGACAACCCAGCTGACCTTGGCAGTCGGAGCGGAAGCGTGGAAAATGAAGAGCTATGGTGGAGAGGGCCTGAGTGGCTACTAGACCGAGAGCGATGGCCAGCCGATATTAAGACAACGGCCACACCAGACAGTCAGGCGGAAGCAAAAGTGATACGGGACGTATTCGCTGTAGCACAAGCTAAGACAGACATCCTAGACGCCTTGCTGATCAAGTTCAACTTATGGAAAACCCTAAGGGTTTGTGCGTGGGTGACTCGATTCATACATAACCTACGGAGCGAAAAGACGAGAAGATCTAAGGGACCACTCACGACAGAGGAGATCGAGATGCAGCGACACCTGTGGCTAAAGCGAACACAGGTGAAATTCAAGAGAGACGAGCGGTTCGAAGATCATCGTGTTCAGCTGAACCTACAAGAAAACGCAGACGGGTTACTGGAATGCCGAGGGCGGATTCAGGGAGACTATCCCATTTACTTGCCTGAGTCTCATCCGTTCGCGGAGATGGTGGCAGACGCACATATCAGGACACTCCACGGGGGAGTGAGCCTCACAATGGCAAAGATTCGTGAAAGGTACTGGGTTCCCAGGTTGCGTCGCCTTGCAAAAAGAGTCGTTAAAGCTTGTAACGGCTGCAAGCGGTTCCACGCCACAGCGTTTGCGGTTCCGCCACCAGGACAGCTACCAAGGGATCGTACCGAAGGAGAAAATGCGTTCCAAGTAGTCGGAGTGGATTTCGCCGGACCACTGAAGTATAGAAAGGGAAGGAATCATGAAGGCAAAGCTTACATAACGCTTTACGCCTGTAGCCTGACCAGAGGTATTTACCTTGAGCTACTACCCAGCCTAGAAACGGGAGAATTCCTTCGATGCCTGAAACGGTTTATCGCCCGACGTGGGCGGCCAGAAAAGATTTACTCAGACAACGGGAGTACCTTCGTGGCAGCAGCTAAGTGGCTGAAACAAGTGATGACTGACGAACGCCTCAACGAATTCCTCTCCCGTCAAGAAATCAAGTGGCAATTCAACCTGAGCAGAGCACCCTGGTGGGGAGGGCAGTTCGATCTAAAATTTAAAAGTAAAATAGAAAAAAATAAGGAAATTCTGCTTTACATAGATGCCGTGTGTGTTTTGTCGATTCAGAGGAAGAAATTGCGACAACCATTTCGGAAGGATTGAAGTGATTTTGCTTGCCGCAATTCAGGGGACAAGCTATTCCATATAACCGCACCGTTATAGCTAAAGCTATTTTTTAGGAAATTGGTGCGAGGCAATGGAACAGCTAGTTTGTTTTCAGAGTTCCTTAGATTATATGGAGGATCATATTTAGTGAAAAGAGAACCAAGATAGTCGGGCGCAAGACCATGTATAGATTTATAGACCATGGTGGCCACTTGTATTTGTCGCTGAGTATCTAACCGTCTCCAGTTAAGTTGCACAAAAAGAGGATCAGCGCTTGTGTCATAACTGGAGAAGGTCAGAATACGGGCAGCCCGGTTTTGCAACTTTTGGAGCTTATTCGAAAGACCCTTGTTACAATGCCCCCAGACCTCGCTGCAGTAATTAAAGTACGGTTGAACTAAGACATTGAAAACGGACTCAAGCGTGGTTCGATTAACAAAAGGCCTACAACGTTTAATTGCTCCAATGCCCGATGCGATTTTCTTGGCTATTTTTTCAATGTGCATATTCCATGAAAGGTTTTCGTCAATATGTACACCCAAAGATTTGACTGAGCTAACTTGTTTAATTATGTCACCACCTATGATTAGTTTAGGGGAAGTATCGTGGGTACCTATCCTTTGCCGCGATCCAATTAACATGAATTCAGTTTTAGATGAATTTAGAGTCAATTTGTTTGCAGTGAGCCATGTGTTAACGTTGGATAGGTCGTGATTCATAACATCATTGATCATTTCTATGTTGTTACTGGCAAAGGTGAGGTGAGTATCGTCGGCATACATACGTGCAACTGAATTAGACAGGCAATTAGGAAGATCATTTATGTATAGAACAAAAAGCAAAGGTCCTAGAATTGTTCCTTGCGGAATTCCACAAGTGATAACTTGACTAATTGAGAGCGAACCATTTACAAAACATTGTTGATGGCGATTATCTAGGTATGAGCTAAACCATTCATAAGCGATACCGCGGATACCATATTCAAATAATTTAGACATAAGAATTGTATGGTCAACGGTATCAAAAGCCTTTTTTAGGTCGAGAAAAACAACTGCATTTATACTGCCTTTATCAATGTTGAAGGCCCAATTGTTTGTGGCCTCCAACAAGGCAGTAACAGTTGAATGGAGCGAACGAAAACCAGATTGCTGGTTGGAAATCAAATTGTTTTCAGTGAGATAACCGTAAACCTGGTCGTAAATGATACGCTCAAACACCTTAGCTACTATAGGAACGATAGAAATTGGGCGATAATTGTTTAAGTCGGAGTGATCTCCCTCTTTGAAAAGTGGGATAACCTTTGCGCATTTCCATTCCTGAGGGAAAACACCTGATCTGATGGACTGATTAAAAATAAAACACAGTGGATCAGCTATCAGATCGGCGCACTCCCTAAGAAGTCGCGAAGATATCATATCTAAGCCTGTGGCTTTCGATTTACAAAGCTTAGACAAAAGTGAGAACACTTTAGAAGGATTAATACATTTTAACTCAAAACGTTTGTCAGTTCCCTCAAGGTAATGTAGGTGTGATGGACCATTATTAGAATAAATCTGGCTAGCAAGCTTGGGTCCAATAGAAGAAAAGTGATTGTTGAAGGCATCGGCCATCTCAGGAGGGCCGTAAATAGAGTTACCGTTGCTTTTGATTTCTTTTATGGAACAATTATTAGTTTTCCTCGACATGAGCTCATTTACAATCCTCCATGTCTGGCGCGAGTTGCCTTCGTTTTCATCTAATGCTCTTTTATAAAAGAGCTCTTTTGCTTTTTTGATTTCGTTATTAACTAGGTTGCGGCATTTTTTAAATTGTAGCCAGTCATTAGCATCCTTAGAACGCGATGCTTTCAATTTAAGAATATCTCTGTCATGCATTCGTTTCTTTAAGTAAGGTGTAATCCAAGGTGACTTTGAGACGCGCGCCCGTTTTACATGAAGTGGGGCATGCTTGTTTACACATTCCAGGAATAGTTGTTTCCATGCAGCCCACATTAAATTAGGATCAGAATAGCTTTCGATGCTACTCCAATCCTGTTGACCTATATCGTTACGAAAGTGATCAGAGTTAAAATTCTTAAATTTCCTATATCTCAGGGTAGTATGCTTATTCGTTGTCGATTCAATAGAAACTTTACGAAAAACGTAAACTAAACTGTGATCGCTGATGCCTATATGTGAGACCCCTGAGCAGACGACCCTATCTGGAGTATTTGTAAAAATTAGATCAATTAAAGTACGTGATTTGTCGGTAATTCTAGTATGTTCAGTTATTAACTGGTCAAGGCCGTAAACATCAGCAATATTAGATAAGATATTTGTACTTTTGTCAAACTTAGGTGCGGCCATATTACAATTCAGATCTCCTAAGACGTAATATTCGATATTTTCTGAGTCTAGTTTTCCAATAAGTTCTTCAAATGGTCTAAAAAGATCAATTGAAGAATCAGGGGGTCTATACCAGGTCATAACGGCAAAAGGCCTTGATCTGGGCTTCTTGATTTCGACAGTCAGACTTTCTATTTGTTCACATATTAGATCAGAGCGAACAGAATAATTGATTTCGGAACGAATAAAAAAACAAACACCCCCTCCAGACCTACCGTTAGTAGAGCGATCTCTACGAATAGATTCATAGCCAGAAATATGAATTTCATTATCGCCTATTGTGTCATCCAATTTAGTTTCATTTATGGCTAAGATATCGATAGGTCTGTCGGAAAGCAAAATTCTTAGTTCATCAATGTGTACAGAAAGACTATTGATATTTAGCGAGGCCAATTTAAAGCCTCGTTTAGGCGGGAGAAATTGGTGAGAAACGATTGGATTTCCAAGGTCACGATTACGCTCTGAATTGAACAGGCGCTCTGAATTGAACAGACGGCCAGTAGGTCAATTACATTCATGTAATTTATTCGCGAAGTTGTTATACATTTTGGCAATACCTGTCTCCCCAAGATGAAGTCCTCCTCTATTTAAGTCCGTTGAGTGAATGTCATCGTGGAGTATGAAGTGCCACTGTCGCTGATTGCAGAATTTTCGAAGCCTTTTGTTGACTGCATCAACATCGCCGCTATCTGAGAGGTCCGATCTTGTGACCAGCTCTGATATTATTACTTGTGCGTCCGTGGAGCTTTCAATTTCCCTCGCTAGGTCAACGATGTTATCGGCGATTTCGCTTGGGGATAGTTTTCCAAGGTCGTTAGTACCAGCATGTAAAATGATCTGGTCCGGCTTCTTGTCCAGTGTTGGTTTCACATAATGTGACATATCACTTGTTGTAGCTCCCGCGAAGGACTTTACAACAACCCGGTGGCCGACTTCTTTCCCTAATTGCCACCCTTGTATGTTTCTGATAATTGAGTCGCCAATAATGACGGTGGTCGGCGAGGATCTTTCTTGGTTGTGGTTAAGAGTATTAGAGCTGTTGTGAGAACTCTTGTTTGGCGGTTTTTTCTTGCTCGATTTGCTTTGGTGATTCTTCGTTGTTTTGGAAGATTGAGATTTAGATGATCCATTGTTTTGCTTTGTGTCCGCCTTTGTATCCGACCATTTTGTATCCGACACCTTAGGATCAACCGAAGGCGACTCATTAAAAGCTTCCTTGCTGTCAAGGCGAAAGTTATATAGCTCCTTGCTTAGCAATGATACTACCATCTGCAGGGAATCTCGCTCCTCTTTTGTTTTATCTAGATTTCCCTTCATTAGCTGAAGTTGCTCTCGCAGAGCGCGATTTTCTTCCTGTATCCGTTGTTGATTTTGACATGATTTACAGGTTGACTGTATTTCTCTACTGTCCGTTAATCGAGATCTATACAAGTCTTTGAGTTTGTTTACCTCATTTTCCAAGCGGTCGTATAGATCTTTAAGGGATTTGTAGCCATTGCATGTGTGACTCTGTTGTTCTGGGCTGCTGCTAGTGTCGTCCAGGTTTATAACAGCCGATGGCCGAGGTGACGGTTGGTTGACATTGTGGCGGGGAATTTGAATTTCACCAGATCCTGTAGGCTGTAAGGCTGTAGGAATTGACACAGAGACCTGGGAAAATCTCGCAGCTGATCGGTCACAATGGAGAGGAGCCGTTACAAGGCACCTCAAAACAGGAGAAGAGAAGCTGACACAAGCTGCCACAAGGAGGCGGACCCGCAGAAAACTTCGTATCAGCAATGTCCAACAAACAGCATACACGTGCAGCACTTGCGGCAGGGACTGCCATTCACGCATTGGCCTTCACAGTCATAGTCGCAGATGCTCCAGCCAAACACACAATTAGGATGCTATACCCATGGTCGACCCTGACCGATGGAGGCCTACTAGTAGACAGAAGCACCACACGATGTACAAGCACCTCTTGAGTTTAAATTTCCCCACAGGATTAATTTCTCCTTGTCAACGACTATATGCTGACTTAAACTGTTAGCGAAACAAACAGGTCTGCAGTACAAAGTTTAAGTGGAGAAGAAATTGCACCTTGTTGAGGGAATCGACTTTATGGAGATTTTTTCTGGGTTTATAATTGCCATGAGCATCCATTATTTGTCATCACTTACAGAGTTTTGGAAAGACTATTATGTTTTAGGCATCCCTGAATTTGCAAAGGTGATGCCAAGATACAGACTCCTGGATATAATTATATATTTACATCTGAAGGATAACTTTTAGATGCCAGCTTGTGAATCTACCGAGGCAGATACACTTTACCAACTAAGGCCACTCTTAGCAAGGTTAACAGCCAATTTGTCTCACTGTTATAGCCCCAATACCGAGCAGGCAGTGGAAGAAGAAAGGATCTATTAAAGGGGGTACACTTCTCTCTAATAGTATATGCCAATGACATCCATCAAATGTCTAATGAAAAGGTGGTGAAGAGCTGATAGTTATTCAGAATACTAAGGTAACTGTGACATTGACACTAGACGTTACCATATCAGTGTGGAGAAGGGTTTATTTACGCTATCGTTAGTCCCCTCTGCCTGGAAATCAAGGAAAAGTGGCAAGAAGACCAAATACCTCTGAAAACGTTTCCTTAAGAGGTGCTGAACTGTAGAGCTCGCTTTCTTGGCACTTTCGACTATGCCAGTCTTTACTTTCATTTTAAACCAAAATCAACTAATCAAAGCTAAATCAGAGTAGAGATATTGAAGATTAGATTATCACCTTGTCTTTTGTTACTTTTGATGTACTTCTTAAAATTTAGTTATTTAGATTTCAGTTTTTTTCATTTTCGCCTTTAAATACAGCCTCAATATCTTATTTTAGGCCACTTGCCTCCACCTGGAATTGAGAAATCTTTTCACAGAAACTTGGCAACAAATGGTAAAAGACACGCTACTCTCACACAATGCTTGTGTCACCATGTAGAGGCTGTTAAGCCAAGGATGGAAACAGTGTTAGCCTCAAGACCACAGGGAAAAGACTTTTCTGGAATATCAGGCATGGTTATTGTCAAGCTAAAGCCTGAATGTTAGACTAGGTGAGGATGACTTACTGCAGATTAAGTGATATATTAAAATTGGGACTGTAAGAAGCAGTTTTCTAGTGCAGTTGCTGTTGTTAAGCTTTTCTAAGCTCTCGACATTCCTCCCTGTAAATATACTGAAGAGGGTTACAGACCTCAAGATCTGCTCAGATTAGACGTTGTACGACATAAAAGCAAATACTTAGAAGAGATGAAAAGTGATTTAAGGCCTTAGAAGAATAACATGATCAAAGTAAGCAAAATGAAGGTGTACAACTTCAACAAGTATGCTAGAGACCATTACTAGCACCCATCAGCTCACAAACAGTCTCAGCTTAGGCCTAAACAGGACAGATTTGTGCACAACTGGTTGTTCCACAAGAACCTGAACACTTGCATGAAGTCAGTTCCAGCTTCCTAAGAAGGAAGAGGAATGTTTTGTTTCTTACGCAAGCAACACAGAATTTTGACGCCACACCCTGTGAACAGTTTATGAGATGATCCAGTGACACAAAGATCCCATTGAATCTAAAATATAGGGAAAAGTCTCTACATTAATAATAATTTACTTTATTTATGCACGCCAACATGGCGGCCATGTTTTCAAAAGCTGGGAGTTTATGTTATCTTGCTTTTGTGTTCTTCGTTTCAATTCATCTATTTAATTTTTTATCAGAATCTGAATTTTTCCACAACCTGGGTAATACCTACTTTTGGTCTAGTAGGTAAACTAAATTCACGTTCCAGGAACACTCCATATCGGCCCACAACAACAAGGCTGAAACATGGCTTCATGTGTGTGTTTCTTCGAAGGAAAGATCTCACTATATTTATGGACATCGAACTCAATCCTGGCCCATATCACCTTGGATCATCGTCTTTTCAACTAAACAGAGCTTTGCTCATCTTGCCATTTCCATCTATTCCACAGAAAGGCTCAGGACTTGTTTCAATTGGCAAATCTGCTCGTTATGTCTACACAAGAGATGACCTCATCAACATTCCCCAAATGGGAACTTGCAAACTGAGTAACTGAGCTTTTCTTAATGTGAAATCGAATGGAACACTCAGATGTCATGGAACATGATCGGAAAAAGCTGTCGAGACCAGGTTGACCTGACAACATTGGTCAGTAAATATAACACAATCCTGGAAAAGATCTACAACGACCTCGCGCCCATGAAATTGCGATGGATAACTCATCAACCACATGCACCGTGGTATAATGATGATCGCTGTTTAGCCTAATGCATAAAATGGAGAGCAGTGCGCATGTTCAGAATAACTGGTCTGGAAGTTTACAAAGAAATATGTGTAGGGCAGGTAACAAATACCAAAAGCAACTAGAGTTTCGAACAAGTTGGAAGAAACAAGCTTTTCTAAATGGTAGACAAACTGTTTCAACCTGGCAGCTCAGCCCATCCTTCCTACACATCTTTGCAAGTACTGGTTGAAGATTTCAACAAATTCTTTATCAGGCAAATCCAATCCATTAGAGACAAACTCCAAGATGCAGTCAACCATTCAATGCAACCTCAATGTTGGACTTCAGCTAAAGCAATCAATAGTTATTGGAGATCAAGAGTCCACTCCTTGTGCTCTGCGTTATGGTGTCCCACAAAGGTCTATCCTTAGACCGTACTTTTCACCCTGTAAATCGTCCCTCTTCAAGATGTAATTGCTCGTCATGAGTTGAATTCTTTGTTCTATGCAGATGACACTTAAATATATATAGCTATTGATCCTGTAAATCAGGCTCTTTCTCTGAGTGCCCTCTGAAATTTGATAGAGGTGATAGGGCTTTTGCCAGTGACTTTGGAATAGTCTTCCTAGGTCAGTAAGAAATATAAATAACTAAATTAAATTTAAATATTTTTTGAAGACATACTATTTCAATGTAGCATGTCATAATTGATATTTAGTCTTTAAATTTTTGTTCCATGTTATTTATATTATTTTTATCATTTTGTATATTTTGATGCAGGGCAGAGTATTTAAATTTTTATGTAGCATTTATATTTACATTTACTTTATCCTATTTATTTTGTTGCGCATTTGATCATATGCACATGTAAAATGTGTGTTTCAAATCATAAACATTACTATTATTATTAGAGGATGTAATGTGATGGAACACACAAAACATGCTAGAAAGTAATGTTGAAAAGACAGAGGTTATACTATTTACACCCTGTTTCATCAAGACACTGAACAATGAGAAGCTCTCTTTTGCCAATACCATCATTCAACTACCTGAGAGAGTTTGTGATTTTGGTGTTAATTTAGATAAAAGCCTATCCCTGACATACCACATGAACGAGACATGTAAGAAACCAACTAATGCCATCAGGTCCATAGGTCGCATTCGCAAATATACCACCAAAGGAAAATCTCAAACTGTTGGTTAATGCAGGACGCGCCAAAAGCTATGTCCGCTGGTTGAAGTGACGGTTTTGGCGGCCATCTTGGACGAGTAGGCAAGCACTTTGAAGGCCAGGCCTCTAAGCCCCATACATTCTTTGTAAGTTTTTCGAGCGTACCGCGACACCTCTTCACAACCAAGAGAGACAAGGTTTCTTTCGTTACTGTCAGAAGGCTCAACAGATGCAGGAATTATTGAAAAAGAGACAGTGTTCGTACGTTATGTGGACAAACAAGGACAGCCACGGACAAAATTTGTTGACATTGTTCCCCTTGAATCAGCAACTGCAGATGGAGTTTGTAACGCAGTTACAACCAGCTTGGAGACTATTGACATTGACCAAGAAACACTGAAAAAGAAGTTAGTTGGGTGCAATTTTGATGGAGCTAGCGTTATGATGGGCAAGAAGTCAGGCGTTGCTGTGCAAATACAAAAAAAAGTTCCACAGCCAGTTGTGATTTTACACTGTGTTGCTCATAACCTTGAGCTTGCTGTTTTAGATGCAGTTAAAACCGTTCCCTACCTTGAAACTTTTCATGAAACTATTAGGCAAGTTTTCAAGTTTTACTATTATTCACCCAAGAAAAGAAGAGAAGTCAATGCTGTATCAGAAATCCTTGATGAAAATCCAGCTCATTTCAGCAGTAACATCAAGAAGACAAGGTTGCTGTCTAGCAGACATAGGGCTCTCGCTGCTATGGAAAAAATTCTTCCTGTGACAGTCACACACTTGGAGCAGGTGAGCAGTGGGAAGGTGAAGATGCAGCCAAAGCCAAGGGGATATTAAAGCAAATCACAACAGGGTAATTTGCAAGATTCCTTTACTTCATGTTAGATGTCACTGCAGTTTTAAAGGAACTGAGTGAAAGTTTCCAAAGAGCTGATCTTTTCATCACCGATGTTGCAAGAAAACTTGACACAGCCATAGCAAACTTGGAGCTGTTAAAGAATGACAAGCCTCCCACAGAGTTGTCGAAGTTCCAAACTAGTTCAAGAGCAGCTACGATGAGGAGAAAAAGATCCTACTGAATGGAAAAAACAATAGCCAAGAAGTTTCACTGAAAGATAATAGCCAAAGTACAGATCTCCGTGAGCTTTTTTCAAGATTTTGGACTGATATCATTAACTATCTTGAAAAGTGGTTTGCCAGCCTCAGCAGCCCACCTCTCTCTGATTTCACTGTTTTTGATTACAGAAATTTCCCTGTTCAAAGAGGAGAAAGAGCTGCTTATGGTAACGAGGAGGCCCATTGGCTTGTTGATTATTTTGCCCCACTTCTTTACCAAGAAGAAAAAGATGGAGCGGTTAAAGAGTGGCAGGAATTGAAGAGCTTCTTGGCTACAC